CCCTCGGTAGTAACAAAACAACTCATATCTTTTTTTTCTTTTAGGGATGTTTTTAGATAACTTTCTGGTGTTTGTTTCTTTAACAAATAGTTATGTTGTTTGATGAGAAATCATATGCAAGCAATGTATAACTGTAAGTTCAAAGCGCTTCGATCTTTAAGGTGTAATTGGAATAAAATCATGCAATCCAGAGATTTATTGCTCATATTGTTTTCGCTTTTAATTCATCCACCAATCGAACAAAATCCAACGCAATGCTAGATAAGAAACCGAAAGGTCCTTGGTAACCATATTTTAAATCAATATTACAATGACAGACCAAGACTTTCCTGCGCGAAAGTTGCCGATTCATTTCAATTGTACTTTAAGACCCTGATCTGACATTCCCTAGAGGATCTGAAAAAAGTGCATTTGTGCCATGGATTGATGCTATTACTCATGATTTTCCGCTTTGGCCAAATATAAACACAGGCATTCGGAAAATTTGCGCGTACTATATGTGCATATGGTTGTTTCCTGGTCAGGTAATCAAATTCTGTTTGATTACGTCTGTTAGGCTAGGAAATTAAATCACAAATGTAAAAGGAGATCAGACAGTAAAATAAAAAAGTTCAATGATGGCTAGTCAAACGGTCTGTATTTTTAATTTATACAAATGACCTCATAAAGTGTACGTAATTTTTGCTCAGCACTGTAAGGTTTTTTTTTGAAGGAGAGATAGTGAGACGCTTACAACTAACCTTGTTTTTTCAAAGTAACAGGAAATCTGGGAAGTTCCTAGGAATAAATCTACAAAGCAACTCGTTCAATTCAGTTGAGGCAGTTTTAGTTTCTGGTTAAGGAGTTATGAAATAACATTCAAACAACCTGTTAGACTTCTTTCATCCACTGTTGAGATAACGAAAACAATCGCTAGTTTTCATTTAAAGCTTGAGCAAGCCAACTCATAAAATCGTGACTTCTTTATTCTGATATAAAAACAATCACCAGCCTTTTTTTAAGACCCGTGAACGCCGACTAGAGAAATAAATCTCTGTACGTTTTAAGAGACATCTTTAAGAAAAACTCCATCAATTTTAATGACATGAAAAACGAAAGTTTGCTCCGATTTCCGTCTGGCACCTCTGTGATTGTAAATAAGCTTGTGACGTAACTGCTGTGATATTTAACCGTAAAAATATATTTTTAATTTCTATTTTGCACTTTGTGCACCAATTTCATGTAGTTCTTTAAAGAGAAATAGATTACAGCTGGAGCGATTTAAGTCCGTATCGCCATTTCCCTCAAACGTTCTTCTATCAATGCTCTTAACTGCAACCTACTACTTTAGTTGTCTCATCCTTTTTCAGTGTAACCTGCTCCATAAGCTTCAATGTTTAAATAAAATTACATAAAAACAACGAAATCTCGCCATTTCTGTTGGTCAGTCAACTCAAAACACAATGTGACTTATGACTGAAAATATTCAAAAGTTAGGGGATTGAGTCACCGTAACTAGACATCGGAAGTAGTTGTAAGTGAGCCATGTCTGGAGGGTTCTAGCAAAGACCAGAGGACTTCTTTTATTTGGCTCCGGAAACTATTTTATATCTGACATCCAGGTAGGGAATTTAGAACGTTAAATGATAATAATGGTGAAAACTGTATTTGCATCTTAGTAAGATGAACGTCTGGTATTTGTACCATAAATTGGGTTTGTCAGAGCATCCTTATGAAATTTGTTTTTGGAGAATCCTTGTAACATATCGGAAAAAGCGTAAAAATAACACATTACCTAGCACAGTTTTCTTTCCTATATTTTTGAGCCCTGATTCGCTTGCATTGTTGCTAAAAACTTTTACAACGAAGCCATTAGTTGTTAGATTGATGTCAATTTTGCCGTCTCTCCTTTCATTGTCAAATTTTATAACGCTATATCCTAAGTCTTGAGTGCCATTATCACTGAAACACACATTCCTATGAACAACGAAAATTGGCAACCTTCTGTCTATTAAAACCAAATGTTGTCCGTTCGCGAGCTGCATGTTTACCTTTTCATGGTTGCTCATGAGCAATGGAGTAGAGAAATTGGGAGCCACGGCAAATCGATTTGACCTGTAGCCTATTATCACGGAGATTATTGTCCACGGTATGTTTCTTCTAAATGCAAGACCAGATACTTTCACGAAATTTCAAACAAACAAAACTTCAACGTAAACCCGCTCAAAGGGGAAACTTCATTTTACGATAAGAGAAGAAAGTAAAATTAACTTTCAAGTTGAGCTCCAATCCTAGTTGTAAGGGATTCATTAATCAATTTTTGTGTTCGCAGCTGTATAACATGTCGGTCAATATTGTTATGAATTTAGCATTCCGTCGTGATATGGTAATTTACCTGCATGAGATAATATATCTTCATGTTCAACATGTTACCCTTAGTTAATGCAGTTCTTGTCAATTCTTACATGGTAACTAGTCTTTTTATAAATTTTTCTGCAAATTGCATCAGCGCTTCTCAGTCTTAGAAATTAATTTCTTCAGAAACACTGCAGGAATTTGATATTTTATTAAGTTGTTAAGGAAAAATACCTCATGCTATACCCACCTGCCGTGTTTATAAATCCTGTATTTATAACTTAAATGATCCGTGCAATATGTAATACCAAGTGACCTGTCAGTTTTATCTCAGGGACAGCGCACTTTGATCAGCAAGACACACTAAAGATTGAGGTGAGACACAATTTATTAACCGTTTACATTCCATTTGATTTTTTTTATTGATTTCTTCTTCGCCTTGCCTTTACTCGTCAAACCTTTTACGAGTATACTATCTAAAAGCATAAAATTCACAGGCCTATTGGGTCGTCCAGGTAAATGTCAGCAATCTACGGATGACGGATTGCCTGCGTGAAGATTATTTGTCGTAGAGGTATATCTACGGCAAATCATCTAACACATAATAGGAAGACTTCTACAAAATTATTTGTTCTCTGCGAGTAGTAAATTATTAGCTTTACTTATCCCCACCATCAGAAAGAAACACATAATATGTCCGATGGCGAACCTACTCCTCTCTGGGCAACATTCTAGACTTAAACTTAATCCATTGATTGTGATATATATAATCGTATATCACATTGTCAACCATTAGCTCATTTGACAAGATTTCACAAAGCATTTAAATATAAAACTTGTATAACATATTTATTAAAATTCGGTAAAAGTCCATCATACAAGATACAATAGTGTATCAAAGCAATGATGCAACGATGCAGATGATCAGATGTTTATTCTCATACAGGTTTGGAAAACCTAGTGCACTGATATGAGGGGACTCTTAGGAATTTTTCTTCTAACATTTGGTCTCCTTGTAAGAGCTAGAGGTAAGGACACGAAAATATTATATCCACCTTAAATTAAAAAACTTTCCTGAAATTCAAAGTCACAATAGATTTTACCTTTTCCTAACGTATTCAAACTCGTTATGAGCGACTTCCCTATCTATTCTTTGCATTGTTCTACCCGAGTTAAAATCAATCGATGTAAAGCTGTTGTTTTTCCACGGCACAACTGGTGGTCTCTCACAATTGAATAATTAAAAAAAACCCTTTTCCCAATAATACTGTCTGCCTGACTGCCTTAAGCTTCCTTGGCTAATTCATCCACACAATGAAGTAATATTATAAACGTTAACTATTCTCCTGAGTTAGAATTATCTTCCTTTGAGAATTCAGGTTTTGGAACTATTACTGCAGTTAATAAAAGAAAATAGACAGGTTGCGCGACTAGTTTCTAAATTAAGTTTCTAAATACGCAAAAACAGAGCAAGTAGATACGCTAGTTCTATTTTCCCGCCATTGGTGATGCTAGCTCTTTTGTGTTTTACTCTGCAGAACACGACAGTTTATCTCCTACACCAGGCCTTAACGACGGTTAGTAAAACTGACAACTTTCCCGTGTGGCTGTAGAATATATATGCCCTCAATATGCTTATTCGAGAGGCTGGAAACTCGTCTCAACCAATAAAAGCCATTAACTTAAGTGTTTGGAATGGACTGCATTCCCTATCATCAGCAACCAAATATCCAAAAATCCCCATTACAATGGATGCCAATCACTGTTTTAAAAGCGAGAAAAAAGTAAATTTTATAAAAATTGAAGAGATACTTCCCATCTTAGAGGAGTTTGTGTTATATTACAGCATTTACCGACAGCAGTGACGAAACTGCTGCACCGTCTTCGTTCTCTGATTCTGCTAGCCGTCACCATCATAACGCCAATAACGATTGGCTATCCGAAGATGATGACGATGATGACGATGACGTCATGGACGAGAGCCAGCTGAATGTGCAGCCAGCTGCCTCAGCCAAGACCGCAGCAAAAGCTGCCGCTAAACCCCTCTCTACTGGTAGGTTGAAACAATGACGGAAGTCAACAAATAAATTGAATGAAACGTTTAAGTTTGATTCTTAATAGAACTGCAATATGATAGAGAAAGAGAAAAGTTGGTTCCCAAACTGACCAGACTCAGACTTACAAGTTAAACGAAAAATATGAGTTCGATGAAAAACTAAGTATGCCTCTACTTGCTTGTTTAGTCAGTTTGCCATGAACGCCGGCGGAACGAACGAGGTCTTTTAATAACTGATTTACTTACTTTCACAGTGACTTGTTTTTATCTTATCATATTTACACAGTGCAACTGGAAAGCAAGATATTGTACGAGTTGAGCGGTTATCGAAGGTTATTCGGTGGAGGCCCTCTTTTTAGGTCGGCAACCCTTGACATTGGAGCTAAAGCCGCTAACGACAAGATGCAGAAAGGAGGCGTGATCAGGAAAGATGCCAGCATCAAACACGGACAACTGCAGTGCATAAAATTGATAACTTCAGACAAAGTGTCCGCTGAGTGCAACTCCTTTTGGTTAAAACAAATGCAGGATTACGACTGGTCAAAACCAGCACTGAAAGATAACAACAGGTTTTTCGTCACAGCCGTTTGGATGGCAGCAACTCATGCTGGAATAGCGGTCAAAAAGGGTCCTTCTGGAAGATACTTTGTGACCATCTTGGTCGATCCCGCTCCTGATGTAAATAATCCCAAGGCTCTTCCCGATGTTAAAAAGTTGAAAGCCAATGTAAAACCATATACCGGTAAGGGAACTAAGATCAACATGGCCTCCTCGATTTAATTGATTAACAAGATAATTTATCAACTCCTATAACATGTAGCTACATGTCTGTAAACGAGCAGATGATGTTCCAACGAAGAAAAAGGTCCCGGGTCATTATAATATTTTTGGAAAGCCTGTCAGGACACGCAATTATCTCCATTTGACGCCACTATCGCTTTTTAGTTTGGTCAAAACTTGTAGTTTAAAGTTGTGCAGCATAACGAGGAAGACGAAGAGACAAAAAAAATTCGAAATAAATTAAGATCAAACAGCTCGTTTAGGAGAGAAACGCCTAATTATTTCTTTTCAATGGGCTTTTAACAACAGGCAACCTTGTTGCATAACTGGGCACGCACGCACTATTTTATGCTGCCCTTTCTTGCGATCTGCGCATCTTCTTATAAACGCCATTATGCCAAGTATTGAAGAATGAATTTAATTTTGTTTCTCTCTATTTCAGACATGTTTACAGCAGCTACTGGAGGTAAAACTTGTGTTGTTCATGTTTTTCTTTTTTTTTTGAGACGTGTAAATTGAATCAGCAAATGCAACGTTATTTGGGAAAAATCAAATACTTGTAAGAAAGTATATAGCTTATGGCTGGTTGCTACGACCTATCTCACCTGTGATACGGTTTTAGTGGCTAAAGAAAGGGTCTGTGCGATCAATAAGTATTAATAGCGCTAATACTGACAATCACACCGATCTCATTTTATGCATTTATTTGAATAAAGCCAAATGCCCCACTGGATTTACCGAATATCAAGGCTCCTGTTACAAGCTGCACAAAGACAAGCAGACATGGATGAATGCTTTAGGAGAATGTCTGAAAGAAAGCGCAACTCTCCCTCCGATCGAGTCATCATTAGAAAACGATTTTTTCAAGCAGGGGCTCTTGAAGGGCCAGAAAGATTTCACCTGGCTGGGCTTTAACGACCGTCTGGCAGAAAGTATGTACATGTCGGTTGAGGGCTCACAGATTCGCTTCATGGACTGGGTGAATGGACAGCCTACAGGCAAAAATGAAAACTGCGTTGGCTTCAATAACAAGGCCAAGTACGGCACTATGGCAGACTTTCCATGTACCACTGCCAGCACGTATGTGTGCAAAAAACCTTTAGAAGGTAAGCGATAACGGATTTTGTTGTTTTGTACCACACGCAGAAATTGTTTGACGAGCAAACATTGTTAACAAGCGGAACAGAGTTATGTGACTTTCTCGAAGAATCTGAAGTTTATGTCATGGACCTAAATTACATTTTACACTAAAGTGTGTATCAGTATTACATACAAAAATATTATTCTCGTGGCAATTTACGGTTGTTTTACGTGTAAAATGTTTTAGCATAATGTTGATCATCCCCTGTAGGTTACATTACCTATCTCCTGAAACTCGAAGTGGAATCCATGGTGTGGTTGGATGACTTGGGAAATCCTGGATCTCTCGCTTACCAGCAACTATCTACAAAGTTCCAAAAGGCGGTATGAATTAAGCATTTACCAGTTTTACATTTACTAGTGTATTACCCATTAACTATGTATAGTTAGAAAGACCTGGTTCTAAATGACACCGATTTTATATTTGATTTTCAGCTCAAAGAAATTTACACAAAGGCTGGAGTTAAAAATCTCATGAGTTCCGTAATCACTTCTGTCAGGTAAGTCCATGGGAAGAGAACAAGAAAACTATTGTCCTTATTTCAACATTTCTAAAGCTCAGTCTCACTATACGAACCTCGTTATCAGATATTCAGGGCAAGAACCACGGTTAAGACGTTTCTAAATTTTTGTGTTCTTAATCTTTTGTCCGATTTAGCAACGGTCTCCCACCTCCACCACCAGTACCAGTATACAACTACTTTGGCAAACGTCAGGTTACTGCAATCAGAGTGACTCCAGCACCTACAACTCCTCCAAAACCAAAGCCCTCTGGTGGTGTAGCCACGCCTGCAAAGCCCACTCCTCCTAAGGTTCCAACCACAAAGTAAGAGTTAGATTCCACAAGTATTAACGAATAAGTTAAAGAAATGTAGCGTATTAGGATTATTGGTTGAAAATTGTCCTCGTGGTTTAACCATTTTAATGTAAAGTCAATTTTTTTGGCCTTAAAACATGAATAAGACAATAAACTTTTTGATTAAATGAACTGTCATTGAGGGCGGGTAGTACTACATTCGGTACATCACTGACCTTTGTGCTATAACACAGCTAAGGTTATGCAAATGCTTTTTTTGAAAAAGTATGTTTGTGTACCCCAAGATAACCGAAACCTATGTTCAACTTTGAAGAGATGCTGGGGTGATTTTTATTTTTTTCACTAAGAGAAATGCCATATTTGCCGAAAAATAAGCTTGAACTCTGTTTTTAGGCCAAAGAAGAAGGTTATTGTGAAACTATCTCTGACATTTGGACCAAGCAACATTCTCCCAGACCCAACATCACCTCTTCAGGAATATCTTCGAGCTAATGGAAACAAACTACCAGCACCACTGAGCGAAAAGCTGAAACTTCTCACCATCAGCATCTCTCCTCCAGGTATGTTACTTAACTGTAACTCTCTTTGTTATCCTGGAAGAAAAGCTGGCCTAATGTATTTGATGGAAGAGCATTTCGAATTTATCTCGAGTTTAGAGAAAGGTAAATAGCATTTGGAGAGCTTAAAATGAAGTTGATGCTTTACTAAACACGTTCTTTTTTTCTTATATATTGATGCAGGTTCAGCATCTTGCCCTCCAATCTGTGCAACTCAGTGTGTTTCAAGCTGCGCCCCAAGCTGCTGCACCTCCACAGTGCCTGCCCCTGCTCCATACATGGCACCCCCATGTGTACCAACTCCATATAATCCCTGTCCACCTAAGCCAGCTCCAACGCAACCACCACCAACACAGCCAAAGGTCCAAGCCAAACGACCTGCTGCAAAATGCACTCCTACGCTAACCTCGCCCTGTCCACAACCAATGCCTTTTCCTGCTCCAGCTTTCCCACAATATCCCCCACCTCCACCTCCACCCTGTGTTCCAACAATAATGAACAACTTTTGCCGCAACATGGTCGCAAGGCCACTGGTAGCAAACACAGGACGCTTCTTTCCTAAAAAGCCTTTGATGAGTGCTCCTCGCATTGCTTACAGATTTCCACTTCAACCGGCATACAGGCGTATAATGCCTAGGTTGGTATCTTCAAGGCCGGTGTCTCGTGCTGTGTTGCCTGTTCCACAGGCAGGGGCATTTAGGCAGTGTATACCCTCTGCTCTATCACCATGTCCTCCTATTATGATGCCTCCTCCTCCTCCTCCACCTCAGCCTATGATGATACCTCAATATCCCATGCCTCAGGTAAGGAGCCAGTTTGCTCAGTTTAGTTTCATGCCAAAATGACCTTAGAAAAAAGGGGGAGTATTTTGCTGGAAGGGATAAAAATGAAGGGCATTCACGACGAGGGATAAATGGAGAACACTTACAAAGAAACATATCAGGTTTATCATGAGGTGTGGATGAGGAGAGGTGGAGAATAATTGGGAGGACTAATATTTCAATAGCAGTTTGAGTTGGGGTGTTTTCATAAAAGACGAAGCGAACTGAAATACAAACTATCATATAAAGCAAGCTTTCATCTCCAACATTTGTTTTTACTAATTTGCTCTATTTATTTTAAACAGATGGCCCCACCCTGCATTCCAAATATTTCCCCGAACTGTCCACCAAAACCAGCACCGAAGAAGCCAGCGGCCAAGGCAGCAAAACCACCTAAACCTGTGAACCTTATGGGTTTGACTTATCCACAAAGCAGCATGATAATGCTTCCTCCACCACCGCCTCCTCCGATGCCGCCACCAATGCCTATGCCTTGCATTCCGTCTCCTTTCAACCCCTGCCCACCCCCCTCCCCACCAAAAGCGGGAAAAACTAAGTCTAAAAGCACAGCTCCCAAACCGTGCGCTCCAGTGCCAACTCCTGGATGCACACCACCAATGCCTATGCCCATGCCAATGCCAATGCCAATGCCTATGCCTATGCCCATGCCAATGCCAGCGCCACCAATGCCCATGCCAATGCCTTGTGGACTTCCTCCGGCCAAACCCTGTAAACCAGTGACTCCACCGCCGCCCAAGCCAATGTTAATCAAACTTCCTGCCATACAGATCCAAGTGCCTCAGCAACAACCACCACCTATGGTGCCACCTATGATGCCACCTATGCCTCCCTGTCCCCCAATGTGTGGAGCCGCGCCTCCCACTGTATGCCCACCTGCCTGTCCCAAACCATGCTGCAAAACAAGACTGGGACGGTCTGTAGAGTCTTCCAAAAAGGAGTAACGTACTTCACTTATCGACGCTTTTTAAAGACTGAAGAACACTGTGACTAGCAGTGTAAGTCAGCCACAAGAAAACTCTAAATAATGTCTGAACAGATAGGCTAGTATGCAGCGTTTTGAATTTTCTTGGCCGGCATGACTGCATTTTGTCGCTCGGTTAGCGTGTTTTATACGCAAATCAATCAACGACTGCAATCTGTTGCACGTTTTTAAGCTTTTAGACTTATAAGCCAAGATAAAAAAAAACTCTTTTAGCAAACCACAGCTGAGTAATAAAAGAGCTGATAAAAATTCTGTATTAGTTACTTCATAAATCCGACGTTCTCAAGTACTTGGGTTTATCTTACCTTTCTCTTCTGGTGGCAGGAGTTTGACAGGAGCTTCTCATCATTTCTTCCTCGGAGAAAGAAAACCATCGTTTAGGTTATAATATACCGTAGTGCTAGATTGACAAGTACATATGTATATTTTATTTTGGCTCGCATTATATTGTAAATTAATGTTTGGTTCTTAAGTGATTGTATTGAGATTTTATTTACAAGGGTTCTATCTCATAGGACAATGTGATCGTTTTCCATGATCACGCGCAGAGAAGATATTCAATAAAGCTGAGGAGTCTCTAAAATATATTCTGTTGTTACAATCCAGTGTCTGCCAGACTTTTCTCTTCTGCATTGTTAAGGTAGGAGAAAAGAGATAAGCACACTCAGATAAGAACTTTACTGGCTTTTTTGCGACGGAAGTAATGGTTAGGTATTAGAGGGCGATTGAGGGCCTGAACGCTCTCAAGAATTTAACCCATAAACATGAACAACACACCCTTTGTAATATCCCCGACGTTATGCAACAATATCGCGCGAATTGAACGAGCCCATATGAATGATGGGTAAATCTTGGTTGCTGGTTGAAAAAAGTTATTGTAAATCGACAAAAAGTGAAAAAAGAGCTGGATAATATAACGTACATGAAAGACTGTACATTTAAAACACTCCTTCTGGGAAGATAAACATTACTGTCGCCAGAGGAACATGTAGAGTATACAAGGCTTAAGAGAACTTTACTAAAGCCTTGGAAATTATCCGTAAACAACTAGATGCTCTTCGCCCTTCTAATATTTTTGGCTGAATACCAGTGAATGAAGATTGTTTCAAAAGGTCTACATACAACCGTGCTACCGCTCATTTGGTTGAAAGCTTAAATTAAACGTCCTATTCCTAGAAATCTAGGTGTGTAAAACTTCAAATATTCTTGTTGCATACAACACAAACTAAAATGGTATTTGCCTAATCACTCATGGCGATCGTTAATTTAAGGAATCCCCATGACCGCCATATTTACCTCCTTCGATCGTCACTAGTTGCACGCGGTTTGTAAACTCGTCTCAGGTTTCCTCCCTTAATGTAAGAGTGCCTGACAAGTAATATGTTTAACCTCGCAAAATGCGGATTTTAGTAGGGGGGCTTTTGCCCAGTTAGAGAGAACTAATGTTTTGACAAAATGAAACCTATAACAAAAATTTTTCCAAATACATAACTTAGTCTCTGAACAATAACAAAAAAGTCTTACATTCACAAACCTAATTCAGGTGCAGAAGAAGAAGTCACTTTAAGTGGTGATCGGTCAATACGGCCACGATTGCCACCGCCAAACTAACAATGCATTCTGCTGACAAGCACTCCCTGGTGCTGTTATATACTCGTCTCCTAATCCTGTCTTTTTATCGATTTTTTTAAAATTGTTGCTTTTTTAAAATGGTAAGCTGTATACAACGATCACAGCATTTAAGATACTTAAAGCAACAGCTGGACGGCGAAGCGTCGTGAAGTCCTCCCATGTTTAAATCAAGACCGGACCACGCTCAACGCAAAATATACACGTTTAATAAGCATCCAAAATCACCCTCAAACAGATTTAATTAGTCTGAAATATGCTCTGGGCTATGTTAACTCGAGAACGCTTTCAAACGTAGCTTCAGTTATGGCAAATCCATGAAATCTATCGCTGCATTCACCTCTGGAGCCGAATTCATCCTTTGTGTTGACCCGTCACTATCACTGTTATAGACCCCGTTTTCAGTATACATTGATCCTATCCACTCATCAACGAGCCTGTCATTAATCATATCTTTATCGCGTCTTTTTTTCTATCACTGTTATCATTACTATCTTTGGTCACATTAAATTCCGACATTAATTAAACAAAACTATGTCGCTCAACTATAGAGAAGTGCAAATAGGTTCCATTCAAGGCATAACCTTAGTGTATGCTCCCTTAACGCGGTTTCTATGGCATTTGTTAACGATAAAGCCGATTAAAAGGTAACAGAAAGGTTTTCGAATAATACAAAATTGTAAGCATTTGATATCAGACGACGATAGTCCACCCCATGGCGAGCTAGCTAGCTCTCTTCGCTCCGTCAGTTTCCTTTTTGTATATAAAAAATCACTTAGATTTAACCACGAAGTCCCGCACTTTATCCTACGTCCATGCTTTCAAATTAACATTGTTTTAGTGCCAGAACCACAAAATGATTGATGCTTTTCAAAAAGGGATTCAAAGAGGAATCATTTTCTTCCAGCAAATTGAAGCGGATTCAGAAACAAAAAATAGCTTTTTTTTTTTAAATTCTGCACTAAAAGAAGCTCCATTCAATTTGATATGTATCCTTAGCTTCGCAGCCCAAGCCTTGTTTTTGTCGTTTTTTTTTGTTTTCTTCGTACATTGTAAGTTCCGTGCAAACCGCTGTTTCTCTTTAAGCATTATTTAACACCTGTAACTAAAGTCTGACGGAAACACCTGCATGCGCACAGCATCGAAGCGTGGGCACGTGGTCCTCTATTGAAAGAACTTTTTGCTTTGTTGAGTAGGAAGCGAGAACTTTTTTCGTACGAAAAAATTAATTTTGTCTACCTCTGTTATTGCGGGCTAAGTCTAAAATAATCCACTTATTCCAATGGAAATATGAAAATCTGATTTAGGAGATCATTTTCATTATATCTAATATCGGTAAACTCAGGCATTTTCAATGACGCGCTTGATAGGTAATGACTATCTAAAGTAGGCTACTCCGAAACAATTTTGCCCTTTATTATTGGATCTTGTTAAGTTGTCGTCAACCACTCCTGCCTTCATTGGATATCTAGTGAGTAATGTATGTTGTTGAAAACGCAGCTAATACACCGTTATTCAAGCGAACCTTTCTCATGTAAGCACCTGCGTCACTGCTTATTATTGTGTTTATTGCGACCTTATGCCTTTCAAAAGCTTTCATGCCTTTCGCGTACCATAACATCAAGCGTGAAATTCTCTTGAAGAATATAAACAGTGATTCAGTTTCAAAACTTGCAAGTCGATTTACTTTGTAAAAGGTAAAATATCAGCCAGAAATGATCAAAATCATAAATACAACTTGAAAAGCAAGCTGCAAATTTTGCGTAATAAAAACAATAACCCTAAATCCCCAGAGTCCCTTTAAATGATATGAACTAAAGAAGACGTAAACAAACTTTCGCAGCGCCGCAAAAATTATCATTTTAAACAGAATTTAACTTTTCTTTACTTATCCAAATATTGTCAGCACTATTCATCTTTTGATCTGTTAAAACAGATCAAAGAACCGACACCTCTGTAACTGTTTGGCAAGTTTTATTAAACACGCTTTTTTAAACAAAGGCGTCCCATATCCGAAATAGCTTAAAAAGGAAGTAGCCGATCGAAACTGCGTGGTTATAGGTGACGCTAAATTTTCTATGAACACTTAATATCCGCGTCTTCGCGTTTTTGGCCATGCCAGTTGTCAAGTCTTTTGTCATGAATACGCTGAATTGAGCCATTGCTCGGAAGTGCCAACCACCAATTGTCTTAAGTCTTATATAAAGAAGTAAACTGAGACGATTGAGATTAGATTGTCTGCGCTTTCAGAAGTACTCCGGCTAGAAACGTTGCGATAGGAAATAATGACTGCAATAGGGTTCTGGTGTAGCTGTTTCCTATTCTCTGTAGTCATCTCTTGTGCGATGTCTGTTCCACCCAAAAGACTTCCAGGTATGAAGATTTTCAGATACGTTATTGTTATAATATTTGTCGATTTACGAGATTGTTCTCTGAACTTAGGTCAGTTAGTGAAAGACTAAAGAAAATTTCGAGAATGAATTTCAGGATCGAGACTTGTAATGTAGTCTTCAGTGTAGGTAGGGAGGTACATACACATTTGTCACAAAAAAACCTACAAGAGCGAATACAGCTTCTTTTGTGCAGAATTTGATAATTGGTTCTAACTTAGAATACTCTTCTACGCAACTTTGAAGACAAAGCTAATATCATCGATATCATCGATTCAGTAAATACAGTTTATACATTGTTTTTACTGTTTTGGCTTCTTGTAATTGTTGAAGGGGAGTCGTTCATTGTTTTTAATTTCATTTTTGTTTTGAGAACTATTTTTCGTTTGTTCAAACAAAAATGGTATTTTTAACGCAAAAGATTACCTCTTTTAGGCTAGAACCCAAATTGAAAGTTTCATAAACCCAGTTTATTTCGGCTCGTTATGAGAGAGAGTTGTGATATCTGTTTGGAATCTTCTTCAAAACCATGAAATTGATTTAGTTTTCTACAAAATATATATTTCTAAAAAATTTAGGAGATTTTATGTGTTGAAAATAACGAATAAATGGTTAAACCTCTCATTCTTCTCGAAAACCACCTTTTGTTACCCAATGTATGTTAGGGTCGGTTTGTAAGCTAAAAAGATCTACATAGAAGCTCTTGCATTAGCCAAAGTGTAAAGAGTCGATCAATTATTAACTCGCACTGAGGGAGTGTTTCCCACTTCTAAGAGGAGGGGAGACCCCCCACAAGATTAAACCAATTTTCTCAGAATAAAATTCTAAATTCACGAATAAGCGAGAGCAAAGACGCCCATGTAATGGAAAACAGTATTTCGTGCATACTGCGCCTTTTAAATGCTTTCAAAGTTTCATCGCCATGTTGGCTCAGCATGCTGTGAACAACTAATGAAAATCATGGTTGAATATTCACGCAGTCTTTCATCCGGCAAAAAAAAAAAAAAGATTGAGGAACCCCATTAGCGGTGAGTAAAAACTGAGATGTAATCCTTTCTCTAAAAGAAAGTTTTATTGTTTTCTATTTTGTGTATTTTGGTTGAAGGACAATCACTTCCATTTTACCAAAAACCATATCCAGAAGAGAACGAGGACTTGTATGGAAAAGGACTGGATAAGCCGCAATTTGATTCGCCAGACATCAAAAGGAATCAAGTCATACCCTCAGAATGTGCAACTTGCTGCCAGAACTTTTGGTAAGATATCAGATGCGATGAGGTTGTCGTCATTCAGACCTTGATAGAAACCTTTCCTTTGTAAACCGCGACATGCGCATTCTGGTTGGACTCCCACCGCAATGTATTGAGAAGCTTACAAGGCCTGCTACAGGCCACCATATCCATGCCTTGTCACCAGATCATATTTGTTTATCTCTTGTGTCGTTATCGATCATTTGATGATAGACTGTGAAATAAACGATAGGGCACTCATGCGAACATGATAAAGCCTTGGGAGGCAAATTTATGGCGAAATCATAACAACTGAAAATCAAACAACTGAAAGTAAGA